GAACGTCCTTAAGAAGAAAGTTCAACACTGATGAATTATTGGAAATTTATCTCATTTTAATATAGTTTCCCTCCAAACCTAACCCTAACTCCAAAATCTGATGATTTACAAGTTGAATGTAGACTACAAACTTTTTTTTTGGCCAGATGGTTTTAAATTAGAATTAGTTGACAGCATTTAAAAACTGGGAGATTTTATGTAAAAATTCAGAGTCCTGGTTTCTCTTGAAAAATCTGCAAGATTTGGTAACATTGGCCATATGTTCCTTCATGGCAACCATCAGTTGGAGCTAAGTAGCAGCAATGTCCTCTCTCTAATCCTGCATCATCCCCCCTGTTCCCCTAATCCCAACCCACCGCCTTCCCAGCAATGAGTTAAGTGTCAGTTTTCATTTATCATCTTATGTCCAGTCCATTTTTATTACCAGCCTGGCACCTGTAGGCATGTAAGTTTGTAACCCTTGATAAGAAAGTAAGTAATAGGAAAGCAGAGACCTTGTTTATCTTTATACCTCTGTATTCTCTGGCTCTAGCTCAAAAGTTTTTTATTGAATGGGTAAATTTTTATTTCAGAAGAATATATCTACTAAACTTAAAATCAAATTGGAAGGAAAAGTGGATGAGTATATATAGAATTGTTAAAGATAAAATGAAAATGATACACTTTTGCTAATATGGGTAGGCTTTGGGCTCAAAGGACTATAAAACTTCAAATAGACTAAGAGAGAACAAAGCTAATCCTTTCAAATGGAAAACAATGAGCAAATTCATTTATAAATGCATATACCATATTTGCTATCACTAACACATTAAATGTAAGGTGATTATATTTAGATATGTAATTTATGTATTTAGATATGTAATTATAGAAGAAATAAACTTTAGTTTTCCTCTTTCAAAAAAATTTAAAAGTAAACAAGAAATGCATGCTCATTGTAGAAAAATTATAAAACACACAGAACTAAAAAAAAGTTACCAGTCATTCTACTACTCAGAGGTAACAATGGATAAGATGTTAGTGTATATTTTGATAAACCCCTTTTGACTGATAGATACAGATGTGTGATTCAGATTTATGTATACATACATAATTATACTTTACTTTAAAAAACAGCTTATTTCGGGCAGAAGACATGAACAGACATTTTTCCAAAGAAGACATCCAAATGGCCAACAGACACATGAAAAAGTGCTCAACATCGCTCAGCATCAGGGAAATCCAAATCAAAACCTCAATGAGATACCACCTCACACCAGTCAGAATGGCTAAAATGAATAAGTCAGGAAACGACAGATGTTGGCGGGGATGCGGAGAAAGGGGAACCCTCCTACACTGTTGGTGGGAATGCAAGCTGGTGCAGCCACTCTGGAAAACAGTATGGAGGTTCCTCAAACAGTTGAAAACAGAGCTACCATATGACCCAGAAATTGCACTACTGGGTATTTATCCCAAAGATACAAATGTAGGGATCTGAAGGGGTACATGCACCCCAATGTTTATAGCAGCAATGTCCACAATAGCCAAACTATGGAAAGAGCCTAGATGTCCATCAACAGAGGAATGGATAAAGAAGATGTGGTGTGTATGCGTGTGTGTGCACGCGCGCGCGCGCGCACACACACACACACACACACACACACACAGGAATATTATGCAGCCACCAAAAAAGCCACAAAATCTTGCCATTTGCAACGATGTGGATGGAACTAGAGGGTATTTGCTAAGCAAAATAAGTCAATCAGAGAAAGACAAATATCATATCTCACTGATATGAGGAATTCTTAATCTCGGGAAACAAACTGAGGGTTGCTGGAGTGTTGGGGGGGTGGGAGGGATGGGGTGGCTGGGTGATAGACATTGGGGAGGGTATGTGCTATGGTGAGCGCTGTGAATTGTGTAAGACTGATGAATCACAGACCTGTACCTCTGAAACAAATAATACATTATATGTATTTTTTTAAAAAAAAGAAGATAGCAGGAAGGGAAAAATGAAGGGGGGGGAATCGGAGGGGGAAATGAACCATGAGAGACTATGGACTCTGAGAAACAAACTGAGGGATTTAGAGGGGAGGAGGGTAGGGGGATGGGTTAGCCGGGTGATGGGTATTAAGGAGGGCATGTACTGAACGGAGTATTGGGTGTTATATGCAAACAATGAATCATGGAACACTATATAAAAAACTAATGATGTAATGTATGGTGACTAACATAACATAATAAAATAAAATTAAAAAAAAAACCCAGCTCATTTCTGATCTTGGAGAAACTGATTCAATTCAGCCAGTATTTACAGATTGCCATGTGCAAAGTACTATACCAGTCACTTAATTCCAAGATACTACATCAATCTTTTTTCAAAATCATGAAAGAATTGAATTGTTTAAAAGAGCAGATGTGAGAACAGTTGAAGAAAATTACTGTAAGAGGAAATGTGGCAGAATGGAAAGAGGACTCAAATTTGGGCTTTAGTCCTCAAGCAACTGTATGACCTTGAATAAATTACTGAAAGTGCCAGGTTAACTCATTTATGACCCTGGAAGGTCCTTACAAGAATTAAATGAGATTATGGCATAGAATGTTTGGAACATGATACCCACATACATAATAGTTGTGTTTATTATCATCATTATTATATTGATCAAATTATGTTGTTAATATACCATCTTAATAAGAGGAACTAAAGCAGAAATAAAGTTTAAGAATTCAATGGATACAACTCAATAGCAAAGACCCCAAATTAATTCTATTAAAAAATGGACAAAAAGCCTGAAAGACATTTTTCCAAAAAAACATACAAATGGCCAAAAGGTATTTTTGTGGAAAGGTGCTCAACATCACTAATCATTAGGAAAATGCAAATCAAAACTACAATGAGAGGGGCGCCTGGGTGGCTCAGTCGTTAAGCATCTGCCTTCGGCTCGGGTCATGATCCCAGGGTCCTGGGATCGAGCCCCACATCAGGCTCCCTGCTCCGTGGGAAGGCTGTTTCTCCCTCTCCCACTCCCCCTGCTTGTGTTCCCTTTCTCGCTGTGTCTCTCTCTGTCAAATAAATAAATAAAATCTTAAAAAAAAAAAAAACTACAATGAGAGATCACCTCACACCTGTTAGGATGGCTTTTACCAAAAAGATAAGAGATGGTAAGTGTTGGCAAGGAAGTGGCAAAAAGGGAACCCTTACATACCACTGGTGGGAATGCAAATTGGTGCAGCTACTATGGAAAACAGTATGGTAGCTACTCAAAAAATTAGAAAAAACTACCATATGATCCAGCAATCACACTTCTGGGTATATATCTGAAGCAAACGAAATCATTATCCCCAAGAGATATCTACACTCCCATACTCACTGCAGCATTATTCACAAAAGCCAAGATACGGAAAAAAGCAAAGTGTCCACTGACAAATGAATGGATAAAGGAGATGTATATATATATATATATGTATGTATGTGTGTGTGTGTGTGTGTGTGTGTGTGTATTTATTTATTTCAGCCATGACAGAATGAAATCCTGCTATTTGTGACAACAAGGATGAACATTATGCTAAGTGAATAAGCCAGAGAAAGACAAATACTGTATGATCTCACTTATATGTGGAATCTTAAATAAAAAAAAATTAAGCTCCTACAAGCAGAGAGTAGAATGGTGGTTGGGGATAGGGGAAATGAGGAGATGCTGATCAAATGCTATAAGCCTTCAGTTATAATAAGTTCTGAAGATCAAATGTACATCATGGTGACTACAGTTGATAGTATTGTACACCTGAAATTTCTAAGAGTACGTCTTAAGCATTCTCACCACACACACACAAAAACAAAAAGTAACTATGTGAGGTGGTAGATGTCTTAATTAACCTGTGTTAATCACTTCTTCAAATATATACAACTTCACTTGTCAATTAGGTCTCAATAAAGCTGGGTAAAAAAAAGAATTAAACTAACTTAAGATTTTGAGGGAAGTGAGTTTTCTACCTCCAAATTATGTCTCACAAAACTGAGGTACTTTAAAAAAGTGGAATACAAAATCTGCTTAGATGGGATTTTTATACCAATACATTTACAAAACTAGGAGCTAAAGAAAGAAATAGGTAAAAATATCCAGATATCTTGAAGTTCCTTGTTTGAAGAACTTGCTTTTGCAAGAGCTTTGCCCATATAATTTTAAGAAATATTTGAAATGGTTAGATGTTATCTCGGAAGACAATCACTTTATATATACTTACAGAATGGTGCTTATTACATTGTAGTATAATTATTTTAAAATTTCTCTCTACCTCTATCTTATCCTTATCTCAAGGGTAAGGGCTTGTTTATCTTAGGCATTTTTTGCACTTTCCATCCTCCTTTTCTCACTTCCATAGTATGTTACGTAGCTCACACTGAATAATTATTTATTGATAAAATAACTTTGTGAAGAAACCAAGACTCCTATAGCTTTAATTCCAAGAGGAATTAAAAAGGGGAACTAACCCAGGCCTGTGTCTGGTTATCAAAATAGTAGCACCTTGGGGGACCCGGCTGGCTCAGTTGGTACAGCGTGTGACTCTTCATCTCAGGGTTATGAGTTCGAGCCCCACACTGAGTGAAATTACTTATAAAAATAAAATCTTTTTTTAAATTTTTTATTGTTATGTTAATCACCATATATTACATCATTAGTTTTTGGTGCAAAAAATAAAATCTTAAAAAAAAAAAAGTAGCACCTGAATTACTTAAGTGGATTTTTCATAGTGACTCCAGGTCCTAACTCATCAAGATTAAGAAGTGTGGGCTAAGGATACAGAAGGCAAAGTTTAATGTGAGTGTGTTTGCACATCTCAATGAATTCAGAAGCATATAGAAAATGTTTTAAAATTATTAATTTTTAATATCTCCTCAGGCCCTCTAATAGAAGACAGGAGAAAGCTCTGAAAAGAGTGGAATGATATGGCCACTATTAACAGAAAGATCTTTCAAATTCCCTCTGAAAAATAAAAAAGAGAGCAAAGAGAGTTTAACCTACCTCTCTCTTTGCAAAGGACAAAAAGGAATTCAGCAGCAATTTGCTTGACTCCAAGGTCAACATGTGTCATGAGGCGCACCAGCTTATTTCTCACAGTTGAGCCAACTTCAGGTCGATTTGTCACATCCCTCAATGGTGGTAAAACCTAATGGCAGAAATGCAAAAACCATCATCAGTCGTGGGGTACTAGAGTAAGTGAGGATGGTACCATGCAACTGGTCAGTCTTATAATGTCTATGAGCTCACTTTTGTAAGAGTGGAAAAAGCTTTTAAAAACTAAATAGGTTTGCTTCCAAATAAAACAAAACAAAACAAAACCCTCAAATGATTTCATGCTTGTAATGAAATTTCATTTGAAGAGAAACATCTCTTCACTGTACCACCATGAAATACTCTAATTTGAGTTTTTAATCACCAAAGCATCTGGAATGCCTTTGCCTGCCTCTATCAAAATCCATTTTAAAGTCAGGGTCAAGTTTCTCCTTCCACAGGGCCCTCCTTAATACTTATACTCCTATTGATTTTCCCCTTCTTGTAATTCCTGCAGCATTTTCAGTATTTACTAAAAAAATCTGTACTTAGGTTTTCTTGTTTTATTTTATAATAAAAAATGGCTATTAATTATTGAATACTTTCTAGGTGCTAGTTGCTATAACAGAGGATATACATACTTTCTCTATAATCAATCTCCACAGTAACCTTGCAAAGGAGGTAGTAACATCACTATCATCCCTATTTTATCGACTGATCCGCAGAGGGCTTAGGACACTTCTTGGTTTGTCTGTTTTTTTGCTCACTCACTCACCTAGTCATCCACCCAGACCCCTCCCTCTTCAGGGTCTCCTCCTATTTCAACTGGTTGCTTCATCTCAGCATCTTCTGCCAATTCTCTTTCTCCTCTTGTTTTCTAAGTATTGGAATATTCAAGGGTTGAGCTCTTGGGCAACATTCTTCACTATTTTCACTTAATCTACTGGTGATCTTATCCAGTTTTATGGCATTATATGGTCTCTATATACTAAGAACTCCCTGAGTTATATTTCTATTTTGATTTCTTTACTGACTTCCAGACTTTTATAGGCCTATCAAATTTAGCATGTCCTAAACAGAACTCTTGATGCTCCAACCAAAGCTGTTCCTTCTTAGTTTTCCATCTCACTAAATGGTAAGTCTATTTTTCCAACTGTTTAGTACACACACCTTGGAAATAGCCTTTTCTCTTTCACACCCCATAACTAACCACAAGCAAATGATATTGTTTCTACCTCTGAAATATATCCATAATTCAGCCACTTCTCACTACCCCCTCTAATATTATTAAATCCAAGTTACCGATATGTCTCACCTGAACTGGTTATTACCACAACCTCTCAGTGTTCTCTGCTTTCATTCTGGTCCTTCTAATGATTTCTTCTCTACAAAGCAGCTAGGGATCCTCTGAAAGTCAGATCATGTCATTCCTGTTCTCCAAGTCCTCCAGTTCCTAGGGCTTCTCATCTTACAGTGAAAAACAATGTTCTTACAACTCCCTTAGGTTTCACATAATCCAGCTTCCTGCTATTTTTCTAACTTCATTTCTACTGTACTCCTGGCCTACACTGCTACAGCCGCACAGACCTACCTGGAACTCCTTACGCACACCCCTCACTTTCCTGTCTCATGGTCTGTGCATTTGCTGCTCCCTCTGCCCAGAAACTCTTTGTCTAGAAACTTGCATGGCTCATTCCTTACTTCAGGTCTGTGTTCAAATGTCACTTTATAGGAAGACATTTCCTGACCACCCTATATGACCTCTCTTTTTCTGTGCACCACCCTCCTCCAACCATTTTAATCTTCCTCACAGCATTCCTCACCACCTGATACAGTATATATTTCTTTACTGTTGGCCTTCTTCTATAAGAGTCAGTGCCATGGGGGCAGGGATTTCTTTGTTTTCTTTACTGCTCTCAGTACATGGCATATTACATGTGTTTAATAAATATTTGTTGACTGAAGGAAGAATGGATTAATTCAAATATTTTTTCAAAGATTTTATTTTAAGTAGTCTCTACACACAATGGGGGGCTCGAACTGACAACCCCGAAATCAAGAGTTGTATGCTCTACTGACTGAGCCAGCCAGGCGCCCCTCAAATATCTTTCTAAAAGTGCCTTCTATAAGCTAGGCACTATGAGAGGAAATGAGGATAAAAACAAAGTCAAATAATTTACTGTACCAGGCCCTTCATGTGTATATCATTTTATTTAGTCCGTTCAAATGACTTCTTTCCTCTCTCTCTTTCTATACTGAGTGCCTACCATGTATCAGGAGGTATTGGAGGTGCTGTGAACACAAATGGCAATTAAATCTCAGAAAACTGAATCATCTACCCAAAGTATTTACACAGAAGCCGTATTTCAATATTTCTGATAGGGTAGAGCACCAGGATTTCTATGCTCTAAAGGCACAAAGTCATTGCATAGTAAATCCTTATTATTTGATTCAGCCAACCATACTGAGTTTTATATGGTCTCTATATACTGAATGTATTGAAGAATGAGATATCTAGAAAGTGATTTCATGTAGCATGTGCCTATTGTTCCAGACTGAAGAATCTATTAACAAAAGTTATCACCCCAAAATTTTGTTAGCTATGTTTTGGATTTCTTAAAAACAAGTTTTTTAAAATAGAAGTTTGTTGCTTTTATTCTTATATATCACTCCCAAACAAACTGCGTTTGTATGGACTCATTCTATTTCCTCCCAAATATTACCCTCCAACAATCTTCTTTCTTTTCTTTGACAAATCTTGTTCATTTCCTCTTTCAAATCCACAGAATCTCGTCTCTTTTGTAAGCCTTTCCAGACTAACCTAACCTGGGTCAGTAATTTCTACCATCTGTTCTATTTCTACCCGCCTAAATACTTAAGACCAATTTCCTTTGGGTATGTATGAGTTGGATTTAATCAGGTATTAACTACAGGGCATAATAATTAATTAGCCATCATTCCATTTATACTATTACCAAAATTAATCATCTGTTACTTTACATTCTGCCTTTCTTAATCATCATAGTTTAGACTGCATCTTTCTCAGAAGGAAAGTTGATTTTTTTGTGTGTCTTTTATCTTAGTCATCTTTACTTGTCATGTTTTATCTCTATACTGTAGTGCTTCTTTGAGGACAGAAAGTGGGTCTCATAATCTTTGTGTCCACATAATATGTGGCCCAAGGCCTTCATATAAAGTTGTTTAACAAACAGGTTTTTCTTTTACTATCTTGGTCAGAGATAGCAAAATCTAAACAGTTCAGTTGAACATGGATCTCCTATGAAAAAAAGCTAAAATATAGAAAACTTAAAATATTTTTCGTTTATTATTCTTTACCAAGTACTCCTAGTCACAGTAGAATGTCTTAAAATAAAATTGGAGATGACCTTAATTCATTAACTATTTTATTTGATTTAAATGATTATTCATGCTTTCATGGTACTACTCTCTTCTTCCAATGGACTGTAAATTCCTCAAAGAAAGAGTCTCTACTTTCTAATATCTCCTTAGCATCAGTATCTACTAATGTGCTTCACATGTAATAAGGTGCTTACTAAATCTTGACCATAAACATAAAGGGAGAAATGAAGCGGGTTCATTTAACAAGGGAAATTCTACATGGCAAAAAAAAAAAGCAGTGGGGTGAATGGTGGTACCATGTACGGGGAAATGTGGAAAGAAGGAAAGAAACAGGGTGAAGGGATGGGAAATCAAGAACTTGGTTTGGGATATGTTAAACTTAAGACCTCTACTATACATCCAAGGGGAGGAGATGAATAGGCAGCTTGTTATGTCAGTCTGGAGCTGAGGGGACAGGTCAGGGCTAGAGAGATAAATTTGGGAGTCATCAGCATATAGATGATTTTCAAAACCATGACTGCTGAATGAGATCACCAGGGTAGTGGGAGTGGAGACAAAGACAATATTGTCTCGGGGCGCTCAGACAGTGCAAAGAGGTTCCCTATTGTGTCCTAGAAACCAAGTGGAGAAAGTATTTCAAAAAGGACAGAATACTCAGTTACATCAAAATGCACTGGGGGAATGCATTTAAAAAAAAAGATTTGAGAACTATTGGATATGGCAATATTGGGTTGGTGACTTTTGAGGAGTACCTTTGCAGTGGGGTGGAAAGTATGAAAGCCTAATTTTGGTGGGTTCAGGAGAAAAAGATGAGTAAAAAGAATAGAGAGGGTGAGTATGGAAAACTCTTCTGGGGAACACTGCACTAAGAAGAGCAGAGTGATAGGGAGGCAGCCTGAGAAGTGAAATTGAGGGAAGGTTTTGTTTTGTTTTGTTTTTAAGATGGAAGATGTGTTTGCGTGAAGACAGAAATGACCCAGTACATTAAAAAAAAAAAAGAAAGATTAACGTAAGAAGAGAGGAAATAAATGCAGGAGCGAAGTTCCTGAGAAGGTGAGCAGGAGAGGAATCCAGGGCACAAGTGCAGAGGCTGGGCTCAGAAGAAAGCGGGGACAATTCACCCATTATGATAGAAGGGGAGACAAAGGGTATATGATATGGGCAGATGGACAGAGGACCAGTGGTGGAAAGAACTCTTACCATGAGCTCTGCTACCCATCCTTCTCTAAACATTCACCATCAGCTCTCTTTTCAACTGGCCTCCTTGCATTTACTCCCATTCTCCTAGTCTATCCTACATATAGTAGCCAGAGTATTTTAAAATATAAATGACATCCCCTTCATTTAATTCCCCTTTCTCAAAATGGTCCAGTGCTTTCCCATCTCACTTAGAAGAGAATCACAAGTCCTATACAACCTTAGGCCATCTGGTTCTTGCTTACTTTTTTTACTCCTTGCCAACTTGGTCTAGCCTCCTTGCTTTTCCATAAGCATGCCAAAGCATCCTCTCATCTCAGGGACTTTGAACTTGTTCTCTTTACATTCCTCTTCCAGATTTTCTGAGAGCCTTTTCTTACTTATCCAAATTTCTGCTCAAATGTCATTTTCTCAGAGAGGCCCTCCCCATTCCCCTAAGTCTCCCCTTCTGCTGCTGTCTTTCTTTAGAACATATCATTACATGACATTATAACATAAATGTATTCATTTCCTTTTTGTTGCCCCACTGTAAGGTAAACTCCACAAGGCAAAGACATCATCTGTCTTTCAGTGCTTAGAAGACAACACAAAGTAGATCTCAACTATTTGTTGAATAAATGAATGAATGACTCAGAAAAAATACTATTTTCTGGATTAGGAAGATTTCAAAGATTAAAACTAACTTTTCTGAGTTTCTGATTTTATGAAAGAAAACCATTATGAAAGAATGCAACTCATTAATTCTATTTTTAAAAACCACATATAAGAAGATTAACTATGAGGCGTAATTTGCATTAAGCAGTTACCTGATCTTTGAGAAATTTTCTGATGTTTCGATGGGCTCGGGAACATTCTGTTAACAAGCTGAGAACTGGAGTGAGACCCTCTCTATAGCTGCTTCCCTATAAAGAAAACCAGACATACTGTATTAGTTTCTAACAGTATTACTTTCCTCTGTATAACTGAGCACGTTAATATTCCTTTTTTGAGGGAGAGACATTTTATGTTACCAAAGCTTTACGAACTATTTAAGAAATTATTTTTCTAACAATGTTTCCATTCCATCAGTTATCTTCATGTTTATTAATGTCCATTTTTATCCTCCTTGGATTTTCCTACATTTTGTGGAGTCCTCACTGGCTCAGCCAATGGGCTTAAATGAGGCAAAGGTTTTGATGACCCACCCACACTACCTTGCTGCCTTTTAATATAGTTAAGCTGACAGAGTAAGTGACAGACAAGAGAAATTAAGCAGCTCACAACAAATGAAAAGTTGATGATTTTTTTTTAAAGATAGCTTTTAGTTATTATGTAAAGTATTTATCATCAAGTTTTTTGGGGGGGATAATTTTTACTTCTAGGTCTTACAAAATACTTACATGGAAAGTAATTTTTCCTTTGCTTTCAGGCCCTAGTCACAATTTTGGTCTTGCATCAACAAAATTTTTGGCTTTAAACAAATAAATTCACTTGGTTTTTTGCCATTAATCATATACTGTAATAAAATGATTTCCAGAGTACAATCACACAAAATGTCAGCTATTAAAAAAAAAGTTTAAACTTAAAAAATCATGTCCTGTGATGTCTGCATATATGGCACATTTACATTCTTTAGAAATATTTTCCCAAGGCCTCCATTTTATCAGCCTTACCTTGTCTATTCTCTTCTCCATAAAATTGAGTAAAACATGAATGGCTTCCATATTCATACCATTGTATACCATGGTATTGTTTTTCAAAACAGTTTCTTTCTCAGCTGTTTTATCACTGGGCAGTTCATCCAGTGTCGTTGCCTCTTGGGCCGTTTCTTCATGGGTTAATGGACAAATGAGAACATCCAAACAAGAGACCGGAACATTGCTTAAAAGGTTGACTGCATTGCTGAAAAGCAATTTAAAAATACAATATTTTGATTTCATTGAATAGTCCTTTAAAATGCAAACATAATAAGAAGTTCAGAAATGACTTCTAGGAGTCAATTAAAATTTTTCTTTTTCAAAACAAGCCTTTAATATTACTTGGCATTTACTAAGAGACAGAAAATAAAGGGAACTGTTTTAAATACACATATGACAAATTAGAAAGAACAGATGTTAAATGGACACACACAATCACATGATGTCATGTCACTTTCTGAAATGCTAAAATAGGAATTAGTGTGCTTTAACACCAGCTCTTTAATTTTATTATGATACAACGCTAGGCTTATATTTTTTCCTTGGGGTTTTAAATCCTTTTGTGGAGCTACTGGTGTTTTATTATTCCTTAGATTACAACATAAAGCATCTGAGAAGCTGTATATAAGTGGCTTATCACAGAGGCAACAACATTAAAACCCAAATATTATAGGATTAAGTTTTGTTCTTTCTACGTATAAAAAATACAATTTTTAGATCATCCCATTTTAAAAAAGACATTAGCAGAAAATGGGTAATGGTGCTTTTTCTCCTTTTCTCATCACCAGGTCTCTTCAAAAGAGGCCAACAGAGCCATTTCAAATCTTTATCCCCTAGGCCTTTCTGCTACCTTATTAATGAACACATGCACCTGGGATGCACACCAGTAGGGGGAACCCAAACCTTGTGTATTTGGTATTCCCTAAAAATCTTGTTCTGTTGCTCAGTGTGTAAGAGATTAAAGTGACGCTAATAATTTAAAAATTAGACATGTTCTCAATTAACAGATTTTCCTTCAGGCATTATTTCACATTCTTTCATCTAAAAGGAGGTGGTATTCTCTGCTAACTGGATCTTCTAAGCCTGTGCCTCAGAACTTCCTGATAAACAACAATGGAAAGACAGGCATTACATTTCCTAGTGACAGAGAAGCAGATCTAAAAATAACCACATCCTGACTAAAAATAAACTTGCAAATGCAATCAAAAAGTCTAACCACTTGGAAACCAAACTCAGGGCTTAATCTATCTGATTGTGTCTTAATTTAGACCACAGTAGTTCCTTTTAATTTAGATTATAGTGACACCCTCAAAAATAAAAGTAAACAACAAAAATAAAATACACATTTATTTTTTTCTTTCATTCTGAAGTTCTCCAAGAATGAGTATTACCTTCCTTTCTTTTTATATTATGGAAAAAAATATTCATAAGAGATCAAAGTTTAAAAATTAGACAATGCAGAACAATGAGTAGTAATGTAAAGGGTATCAAAAAAATCTGAGCCACGAACAAAAATAACAAATCCTATGAATGAATGGGTAAAATACACGTTATTTGGAGGTAAAATACACGTTATTTGGTGGTCCCCACGAAAAATCTGTTGCTGCTGCTGTGATTACTACCTGCTACTGTTAAACAATGGCCCTGATTTTGGTTATTTGTAAAAAATCACAATTGGTTGAAATACAATGCTTTTCCCACAAACTTTCTTTTAAAATTTTTTGCAAACATCTGTAGTTCTTTATCTAGACTTAAAAATGTTTCGCTTCTGACTTAAGCATTTGGAAACTGTTGTTAAATATCACAGATTCACTGGGGGTGAAAACAAACAAAAGAACTCTACCATAGAATTACTTTCTAAAACTGTATAAATCATTTTGAAATGTTAGGATTTTTTTTTCAACACACAGGGCAATAGGCACTGGAGTCCACTGATAGTATGATTCTCTAAATCTACCATAGAGACCACACTGAAAAGTTTAAGACAATGTATTTCATTACAAAGGAATGTTTCCCTTTAAATTCATTTAAAATAAGCAGTTTCCAGGAATCTGGTAAATTTAAGAAACCAAATGTAGAGTTTGATTCAACAAATATTTGGAGGTTTTAGGCTTTTCAAGGAAAGTTCCCATTTTCTCGTTTCTTATTAAACAACTGGGTTTCCAAACAACTACAAAATTAATTTTCTGGCTCACTGTGTTTGAGCTATTCTTTTTAAGTAAGGAAGGCCCGCTTTTTGAGCTCTGTCACTTCTCTGACAGTTTTATTTGTGGTAGAAGAGTGTATGAAATTCTCCAGCTACCAGGAAGTCAGTGACTATGCACAGATCCGCACAATGGTGTTTGCATTCCTACTCCAGGGGGTAGAAATACTGTGTATATTACTCTCCCCTTTTCAGCTTCCTAGAGATCATTAATCACTGGGACATGACATCCTCCCACTCCTGCTCCCAGCCCCCTCCTGATATGCAGATTCAAAAGCAATGCCTATTTAGAACTCCTTAACGCCGTGATTAAAGCCTTGTTAGTTGTGGGAGAGGGGAGGCAATCTAAAGACCAGTCCTGTATCAGTCCTGGACTAAACATAATTTAATACCAAATGACAATGAGGAGCATGATAATGGTACATGTAGACCTATAGCCATTAATAAATCTTCCTGATTCAAATATATCTTCTTTATATTTGGGGCTCACATATCTTTTCTTTATGGCTAGAGAATTTACTTAAATGAACCTTAAGATCTCCAAAAGACTTTCTCCAAAAGATGTAAATTCCTAACTTTAGCTCAATTCAGTAATTATTTATTACTTGTGTCAGGCATTGTTTTATGAAGAAAAGAGACAAATCCCTGCCTTTATGGAGCTTATTTTCCAGCATGGAGAGGACAGTCAATGAAAAGTATACAAAACAAGTAAGATGACCGAATAACATGAGAGAAGGTGATAAGCGGCCTGGCGGAGAAACCCAGGAAGGTAAGATAGAACAGGTGGGGTTATAATTTTGAATAGGGTAGTCCTCACTAAAATGGTGCCATTTAAGCAAAGACTGAAATGAAGTGAGGGAATGAGCCATGTGGACTATGTGGGTAAAGAGCATTTCAGAAAGAAAAGCAAGAACAAAGGCTCCAAGGTAGAAAAAGTGGCATAACTGAGGAGCTGTGAAGTTGGTGTTGCTGAACCACCATATACAGGAAAAGGAGGAGAGGAGATCAGATAGGTATAGGGGCCAGACTGGCACTGGAGGTGGAGATCAGACAGGTAT